ATTAAATTGTAAACAAGGATTGAAAAACGAACTACAAGTAAAACATAAAAACACGGATCGGTAATTAACACATTTCTTTTCCTCCGCGAAACCGAGAAACGTTGCTTCTTTAGGGAACTAGAATGCGAGGGGAGTAGAGGAGGGGTGAGGAATACAGTGTCAGAGAGTGGATGGTCGGGGGATTCTAAACAATTTAATGATTTCCCCTCTCCCCTCTCCTGTGAGCTGTCGCCTCTTGAGCCTTCGCTTCGTTTTCTCGTACCCTCAAATTGTCGCGACAAACCATTCAACTCTTGACGAATAGTCACAATAATTCCATCTCAAAAAAATGTACACCATATATGTATATAAAATTATGCTATGTATACTTATTAAGTAAAGTTTGGAAAAAATGGATTAAAATAGAAAATAATCTTAAGGGAATTAACACGATGTAGTAAAATTTTACTTATTACTTGACTGATCAAGTTGAGGGTAGTATTGCATGTAATTGAAAAAAAACTTACTTCGACCTTAATAGAAATTTCAAACTGAAAACTTTCCTGATTGAACACTGGGAAGACTAAACGTGAGATGATAATATACATAACATGCTATATTGAAATTACATCCTTGTGGCTGTTCTACAATGCCGTGTGGATAGTAAAACTACCAATAATGGTCTTGATACTTACTGACATTTTGCGTACATAGAGTTTATAGGAATTTGAATTGGAAAAAGTGATATGTTTCGATATTCGTTTTGACATTTTTACTGTCTCTCCCTAACAAAGTATTGCCCAGAGAATAAATAATACAAGATAACTAGAGATTTGTGAATGTCGGATTCCGGGAATGGAAATGCCAAATTATATAACTAAGAGCACATTCAAACCCAAAGTCTCATTCGGATTAGTTCATGAATTATTGAAGACTCTAAATGAGTACCGAGGGAGACTGTCTATCCTGTATTCGAAATGACTGAATTTAATCTGCAATATCTGAAGGGGTTTGGTCTTTTGTGACATTAACTCTGCATCTGTACTACATATGTATATAGATACATTAGACATAAACATGCATGTTTTCCTGAATAAACATCAAAGCTGCATGTAGAACTGGAAGATTTTTTTCTGTATGGATTAGATGAATGATTTTAAAGTGGTTGGTCCCTTATGTAACGTCTTCATAAGTACAAATTAATTTTTAAGACTAACATAGCATAGTTTGTCTTTCATCAAATAAAATTTCTTACCATTAAATTAAACTAAATCAAAATGAATCAAAGTATCTTTTGGAACGATTTCCATTATTGCTGAAAAAACAAGATGTGTTTTACAACATCCAGAAGTTTAGGACTGCAAATCAGTTTCAGAGGGTCGACTGGGGTAGACTTGTACCTGACACTGGTTAATGGGCAAAGTAATCGTTCAGGGCAAAATTCCACCCCACCATACTTTATCATGTTTAATGGACAAAAACGTAACTCATTGACCCCTTGTCTATCGCTTTGAACGCATATACTCCCTGCACAACAGAGCATAAACCCCACACTTTGGGATATACACGGTGCATTTGACCTTTTTTCAATGTTGACTTTCTCACCTTGGAGTTTGGCCTGTTTCCGAAAAAACTTTAACCTTGGCCATAACTTTTAAACTGTTAAGGCTAGGGCTTTTAAATTTTGACCTTGACATTTGAGTTTGACCTACTTTTTAAAAAAACTTTGACCTTGGCCAGCAAAACTTTTGAACGATTGGTTCTTTGGCTTTCAATATTTCACAGGTATATTCATTGATACAAGTTCTTTCTTTGGAAAACAACATTTTCTAACATTTGACCTTGACGTTTACGATACATTTGACATAAGGCGCCGTTTTGGTATTTACTGGTAAAAAGTGATATCTCCTATATTCGAATAGGTGATATCACTTATTCGAATAGGTAATATCACCTATTTAAATTAGTGATATCACCTATTCATTTCCAATAGGTGATCATCAATTCGAATAAGTGATATGTGATATCACCAATTCAAATAAATATGTGATATCACATATTTAAATGGGTAATATCACTTATTCGAATAGGTGATATCACCTATTCAAAATCTAAATAGGTGATATCACTAATTCGAATAGGCGATGTCACCAATTGAATAGGTGATATCACCTATTCTAATGGGTGATATCACTCTTTGGCAGTAAATACCAAAACGGCGCCTCATAAACTCAATTTAACCTTCGCCAAAGGCTGCCATACGGGGAAGTCAGTGTTTCACAAACACATTTTGTATAAACATGTTATGCATAAATCAGGATTTTTAAAAAAGAAATCTTCCTTTAAACACAAGGTCAGCATTTTTAAAGACTAAAGAAAGGGAACATCGAAATGAAAACGCATAAGATATGCATATATGTTTGTACTGTAATGATAGATGCGTTGTTTGTCGCTACATTGTAGAAAAAACTGATATTCACTTTTCACAATGTCTCTAAAAAGTATGTCTTTGTGAAAATATAAACCAAGACATTTGAGGGGTTGGTGTAAATTGATGCCTTAAGCTCTGTATTGTAAGATGTATATAGATTACGTTAAAAATATTAACGGTCAACCTTTTTTTAATGCTTCAGAGTCAGGTGAAAAGTTTAATGTGGTAAACCGAGCCAGGATATTTTATGTCTTTGAATAATCCTTTGTTAGTTAAACGATTATACATGTTTACGAATGACATAGACACCACATCGGGGAGAATATTTGTATCTTCTCTTTGTCACAATAAGTAAGTTAAATCTGATCCATTAATCTTTTATTCTCTTCATTGTTTCTAGATGATAAAGACTTCGTGTTCGTCCCAGTTCTCTGAGGTCAATATAAGATTCAAGGACACAATGATAAAGGGCAGACTTTGAGAATGCTTGTGCTCATTGAGTTGGCATACTTGTGGCAAAAATTGCATTTCCCAATGTATAACAGTTATACAGTGATTTACTAATTATGTGTTTTAAACTACCTTTTACTCACGCTGCGTTTCCATTTATTGGACTTCTAGAAACTATTATATAAAACTATCAATCTTATATAAAAGAACCTTTAAGCAAAACAAATACATGTAGTTTTTTAATTGAAAAAAAAAACTGCGTTTATCTATTTTCAACCCATTAAAGTGTGGGGTCGAGGCACCTTAATTTAGATTCGCGGTGATTTATATTTGACTCTTAAACACCATTGATACGAAACTGAATCATTTGTGTAGCATGGAAAGGAGCATTTTACAAGCTCAAGTTTTCCAACTGGATATTGATTGATACGAAACTGAATCATTTGTGTAGCATGGAAAGGAGCATTTTACAAGCTCAAGTTTTCCAACTGGATATTTAAAACAAACACGAAAAAAGGGAGTCAGGGTGGGGTGGGGGTAACAACCACTGTCTTTTTATTTCATCATCTTCCTGTAAACGACATTCACAACAGTTAGATGATTAGTCAGTTTGATATGTATATTCGAGTTTGCTCAACTCATGTCCCCACCCGCTATCACCCTAGGTGTAGGGGTTACCACCGTTGGGTCTCATGAACAATACGAGTATAGCCTGACAGAGAACTTCTTTTCCATATATGCAAGCTTCCTCAGTTATTTTAAACTCAAACTGTTCAAATCAAGGTCATTGATCATGGGTTAATATGGGTCAAACCCGAGAAAACCTCGAATGCACATGTATATCTTTTTAGTTGTATGAAACGAAATGCATTTTTATCTCTTTAAAAGAGTGTTGTTTTGGAATGTTTTGAATATGGTGATAAACGAGCGTTCTACCTTTTTAAAAAATTAGTCTAGATAAGATTACACAAGAACCCAAAATCATGAAAAAAGGACGTATATGCCTCTAAAATACCCCACTAAAACATCGCACTTTTTGTGAACAATAAATATACTTTTTTCAGCTGGTGGTCCTGGAGCTCTGGTCGTCCGTTTCATTTTTTTCCCAGACCAGTGAGCTACAGATCTGCAGCTATATAGAAGAATATTCACTCTGTTATAAAAAAAAAATGTTTATTTGAGATACACTTTTGATTTAATGGCTTCAAGCATTTATTGTAAATACAGTATCGTTAGACAGCTGCTGATGCTGCAGAAAAAAAGTCACATGTAAATTCTTTGAAGTTTCTGGAACAGCTAATTCCCATTCTACTGAGCAAAAATTATATTTTAAAATATTGTATTAATTTTATGTCTCAATAAATTACCATGTAAAAATCCAGAACGTTAAATACCAGCTGAATATTGTATCTTTGAAATATAGATCTTCATCTAAATATCTCCCTAGCACCAAAGACACTAGTTAGAATAATCTAACTGTGTCTCGGTACAAGCCCTCACCACAGTTAGAATACCACCCATATACTCGTAATGTAGCAAAAAATTGCAGAATCGCAACGAAACGATTTTGAAGGATACAAACGGATTTGCACAGAAAATAACTTATAAATTAATCAAAACAAACCTTTTTGAGATTGCTTATGCCTTTTATCCCAAAAAATAATCCATATAAATACGTAAATCCAATTAATTTTCCCAACGTTTTTCTCTCCATTCAAATGTTTACATTCGGAACTCTCTAGATTGTTCGTAGTAAATGCACTATGCGGGTTATTCTTTTTGCTACATTACGAATACACGGAACGAATTCTATCGTTAAACCGGGTCCGTAGGACAATATCATTTTAACGATAGAACATTCTATCTACAAAGACACTTGTTTCGGTAATAAATTTTATTTGGCAGTACTATATTATTGCGGGTGAAAAAAAAGTTATTACTGAAACAAGTGTTCGTGCCTGGCACCCAAGATCGTTTCAAGGGATGTCAAAATTCATTTTAATGTGAAAAGTTTCTGACAGACAGATACACAAACTGACGCATTTCATAGAGCGAATGATCAGAAAATCTCGGATGAGCTTAAACAGTATTTTATGGACCGAATCATCTGTGGCCGAATAGACCAGATACCGTTATTACCATTCGGAACACCTCAAGTCCTTCAAAAAACTTAGAGAGACATTGAAAGTCGCACGACCAGCATGGCCTCTGTTGGCAAACTACTGCAGAGAGTAAAACCAACACTCCCAGACAAATGGAAAGGAGGGAAAATAGACAGAATCGGTAAGAATACTCTTTTAGACAATGGAGTACAATTAAATATAACCTTTGAATTTAATTTTCCAATGATTTGTTTTGACGCTCTTAAATAAGAACTAGTTCTAAGTCGAATTCCCTCTGTGATACTGTTTTACGTCCTTACACGAATAGATGTAGCGATCGTCTTGTAGGTATGACAGAATCACTCAATCAGGGACATAATTACACTGTAATTGGTTAATATATGGTATGATTTTTTTTTATCTTTTGTGATATTTTTATCTTCAAAGCAGACACTAGATAAAAAGTCTGTAAGGACCTTATGATGAGCAAGGGTTCCTCCTTCTTCTTCCCATCCAGTGCAAATCCACTTAAGTATTATCGCACTCTGCATGAGGGGGTGGGTGTCTATATACAGTGCTCAGATTTTTTGTTTTTTTTTTTTCAAAAATTGTGATATTCATGGCCCTTGGGTCAGGATTTCTGCATAGGTCAGGAAAAACCTTTTTGATTGTATATTAAAAATCTGAAAATGCATGCATAAATTCATTAAAGTAAAAGACTTCTCCTCCTGTGTGTCGTTAGCAGAAAAAACTAAGGGTATGGTTTTGATGAGAAGCTATCTCTTCCAAAATTATGAAATTCCCATACCGTATAAACAGAATTTTTAGCGAGGATTTAAGTTTGGCATTATTAACAAGGGTGCCAAGATTGCCAAAATTTAAAATCTCAAAAAATTAATTGCGCTTCATTTGTGATAGTTTCATTAGTGAGCTTTTTTAAAATCGCTAAAATTACACAAGGCTAAAAATATACCAGTTTTAAGGACAAATCGCTAATTTTGCATCTCGCTAAAATTTCCACTTATACGTTATTCATCAACCCCCAATTAATCTGGGGTTCTAGTGTCACAGTTTTCTTTGTTGAATTAAAACAAAACTGGTTCAGTCTCTTAATATTTTAATGATGGATATAAAGAAAAAAAATCGAAAATAGAAAAACACCCTCACAACACTCATACAAAACAATACACATGCATAGACAAACACGAAACATGAAGACATTTCAACATTAACGAAAAGTCATAACATAAATTTATTAAATTAACAAGTAAATAATTACAAGATTAATGAACATCTTACCAGGCATCCAGTATTAAATCAGAAATGAATTATTCTGTATATTGATTGAATCGATCCGATTAAACATGAAATATATGTCATCTACTGTAAAGGCTGAAGAAGCTTGTGGTGGGGAATTTGGCAGGTTTCTTACTTTATATAGTGCACGGGTTGGTAAAACATGCATATAAATTAGTATAGCGAAATCCATTGGTCCATGGTAGGTCATTGGTCAGTCATAAATAAAGGAATGCTAAAACTAGAAATTTACCTGTACAAAACAAAACACTCCCAGGTGGCTCTCACACACCTGCAAAACCAGTTGTATTCGATTGGCAATGCGCACCATTTGGAATACAGAACACAATACAATGTATTGCATAAAACATATTTATATTAAGATAAATTAATAACAACTGTGACATGTGTATTAAGGTGGGGCCCATATTTATTGATTACACAGTGAAAATAAATTAATTCTTTGAAAATCCGTCCAGTCCTCATGGGATTAAGGAGTCGGAGAACAAAATTCTACATGTATTAATGGAGCAACTTAGCAAGAATGTTTTTACAAGATAATGGAAATTTTATTGAGTCGCAGTCTCAAACCTGAAAAATGCTTTAATTTGAAGTATTATATAATGTTTATTTCTTTCCATGTTATAAATCACAGATATCTTAACTCTATTTTCTTGTTATGAATATGAATTAAAATTTTGAGAAATCAAATATTGATGGCATGAAGCCCAAAGAGTTCTTGAATATCAAAAGATAGTCAGGGACAGACAGAGGTGGAGAAAACCTAATAAGTCCTATAGTCCCCTGTAGTTTTCAACAGTAGGGAGAAAAAATGTCATAAAATTGGAGATGAGTGAACAATAGTGCGTTCGTGCTTAATAAATTTACAAAGAAAATGAACCGAAAATGCTAGTAATTGGAATTTTTCTAAGTCAAGGGGCATAACTCTGTCAAATATTCTTTGATCTTCTATGCAGAGGTTGCACACACTGATTCAGAAATGAAATTATCATAAGAATATCTAGGTTAAGTTCTGTTTTTGAGTACGATCAAGCAATTTTTGACAGAGTTATGCCCCTTGGACTTGGAAATATTCCAGTTATTTGCAGTTTTTGCTCATTTCTTCGAATGTATTTTCAAGGGGAAAGGGATGTGTTTCACAAAATCTAATGTTAACTGATGAATTGTTAGAAGGTAAAAACATAATGTGATGTTTTGTTTTTATTCTTCAGGAAATTATATTTATAATATCTACAATGACTACAAGGTAGTAGCCCAAGAGACCATTCAGGACTGCAAGAACCATCCAGTCAAAGCCTCCATTTACATTTCCTTTTTATCATTTTTTGGACTTCTGTACAAAACAAACCCCACTGAGAGAGATTTTAAGCAGGAACTGCTGGATGATGCTCATGAAATGCTGCTGATAGGTGAACCAATTAGAAATGTGAACACGGACAAGTACCTTTGTTCACTGTTAGAAGCAGAGCGAGACGGACGCTTGAGGTACCGAAGTCTCTTGTTCTTCTCTATAGTGTATTTTGACAGTTTGTCACGTGAGGCAGATTTGTTTGAAGGTAGATGTAGTCTTATTAAACCTCATTGGAAGGATTTCCATACGCGTATAGTGGAAGTGGGAATTCTGGGACGCTTTGTGAATTTACAGAAGGCCATGGTGGACTATGATGTTAACCCTGAGGAATGGAATGAACAAGGAATGCCTGTTAATCCTCTGAAACTCTCACAACTCAAATAATATTACTCTCATTGTATTCATGTAATTATTGATCTTGGTGAATTGTATAAATTTACTGAAATAATTCTACTCTTATTGAATTGCTTTTTTGAATTTTCCTATTTTGAATGAAAAGGTTGAGTACAATGTAATAATGTTGTCACAGCGAGTTTTTTTTATGGTTATGATTCAGTTTACATTGTTGCCATGGATACTAAGAAAAATTCTTTTTAAACACTTTCTCACTGTTTTAGTACAAATTCAGTAAAACTTTATACCAAATTAGAATTCTTTTGAGAATGTAAAATGTTGGAAGTCAAAGAACAACTTTATCTTACACTGAATTTTAAAAGTACAAAGTAGTAGAGCCAGAATTTTAGATACAGAATCTCATCAGAGACTTCTGGTAATACCTATATTAATTTCAGTCCTTTATTTTGATGAGAATAACTTCTACAAGAAAGATTTCAGTATACATGTAATTGTAAAATATATCCCCACAAAAGTATTCAGTGTATCCCTCAAATAAATATCAGGTATATTAAATCATCTAGCTTTGTGATATGAACTTCATCTGACAAAAGAATCTGATATTTCAATTGGATATAGTGCAAATTTGGAAAAGACTCAATATATCCTTCACAATGAATGGCAGCATCTGTATTTTTCTTAAGCCTCCTGGTTTTCACTTAATTTATCCATTTACATGTAGGTACACAATTAATTTACAAGAGATGGGAAATGCTTTATTCAGGAATGTAAAACAGAACAGTGATCCATACTCACATTTAGTCATTATTGACAATATTGTAAATCCATAAATCTTGCTGCCAAAAATTTACAAGTCATAAATAATACAAATTACATACGCAGATAAAATACAAAATAAAAGCCAGCAAACCCTGGGAAAAAATGTTTTGATATCATACAATTTGAGCAACAATATGGGTTCACAACCAGTCTTAATTACAATTTATTGGTCATGGAATGATAAGCACAGTGATTCAACTGTAAATAAAATGACATGTACATTAAGTCAAAAAAATTTACACTTAAATTCATTATTTCAAAGTACAAATATTTGCAAAATTTGTTTCATAAGTGAAAACCATCACTTCCCTATGAATGTTAATATGGTAAGTGCAAAGAGAAAGCTTAATTGCTTCAGATATAATCTAAACATGCATAAATGATAAAAATGTAAATACAGTACATGTAATCAATATTAGGCTTTGCCTTAGGATCAAATACATTAAACACAGAGTATGTATACTAAGAATCATTCTTAGAGATTTTAAAATTTCATAAATGTGTCATCAAAGTAAACAAGGACGATCACAATAAGCACCATAGTTTATAATATAAATGTATTATGCAAGTTTGATTTTAAAATATCACAACTTTCAGACACATGGAGAGAGATGCTAAAAAAACATAGCTCTCATTAAAATCAGTTCACATTTTCAGTTATGTTTGATTAATCTCCAGTCTAACTGCACTATAATATCTGCATTTGGTCTAACTAACATAAGAAGCATCTTGGTCAGGGTTATCTAAACCAGTTCTAAGCACTTTAAATCACTTAATCATGCAGTTGTTTTTGTCAACAAACACAAGTTAAAGTGCACAAAGAAAAACACAAAGGAATCAAATCCCATAGCAAAAATATAGATAAACAAGCACTTCAAACTGTACAACACTATTATGTATCATTTACAATTATTTCAATTGAAAAAAAGAAGCTAGACTTTTAAGTACAAAATACTTGTACTGTGAATGTGAAGATGAACAAAATTCTTGTTCCTAGCTCAGAAAGATTTAAATTAAGCTTTACCTATGGTTGAACTCACATTAATTGGGCAATGAATACACTTTAGAGCAGAAAAGAACAATCAACAACAAAAATTATGTATACTGTAGATCACTTAATTTTCGCGACACCTTATTTTCGCGAGATAGTCATTGACTGTTTATAAGCGAGACAAAATTTTCACGAATTGTGGTCAAATATCACTACAGAATGTTTTCGCATACCGTCTCGCATAATTACGCGAAAATATATTTCTCGCAAATAAAAAGTGATTTACAATATATAGCATCAAAGACAATTTTAATAAATTCACACAGATGTGCATACTACAAGTTCATGAACATCTGTGTGATTCGCTTATTTTGAAATCACTAATTTTTATTTGGGTTTAATCTCTGATGTTTTTATGGTATAAAAAAAGCCAAAAATTCATTTTCACCCAAAATGTGAAGAACTGAACACTTCTTCAACCATGAAATTAAGTTTTGATCCCAGGAAAGTACGTGATTTTACAGTATATTTTTTATGTAGGACTGTAGTTTGGTTTATTCAAAAAGACTAGTTTAGTGATTTCAACATAAAAGAGAATATGTACATAATATGTAGTGAAGACTATAAATGCATCTTATGCAAAATATGAAAACATTCATTTGATAACCGAACCACAAACACTGATGAGGCAAATAATGATCAATATCAATTGGACATTAGTTCATGCTTTAGCTATGAAATCTCTCCACTTTTTAGCAGTCAAGTTAAGTTTCAAAACTTGATAAATAAACCAGTAACAAAACTGCTGTTTTATTTCATTTGCACGCGTAAAGAATGAAGGTGTAGCACAGCAAACATTCTGAGACCTTAACTGTCCTTTCATAATGAAGTCACACAAAGTTACCAATGTCAACACTAGCCATAATTTTCACCAAACTTCACAAATTTGGACTTCCCTGTGACAATGCTTTCAAATTGGCATTTTTGATATTTGACCCAATTGTTACTTCCTTGTGGTCTGCCAATCGATAAAAACTTCTCACTTTAAAGACATTTAGGAAATTTAAAGCTCCATAATGTCAATTTAGCATCCAGATTTATACACTGCAATGTCACCATTCATGAGATTAAATTCTCTTTAATACCATCACTGTCAGATCAAGGAGACTTGTTATGAATTAAGCTAGAGTGTATATATATCATCGCCGAGCAAGGATTGAGATAAAAGCTCAGTAACTTAAAGCTCATCATAAAAGATAATTAATTTAAAGCTCTGTCACTTCACCATCATCATCCAGGAGAGATAGAGAGCCGTAGAAATGAGGCGGTACAGTTACCACTTCACTCACTGGTCTGGTACCCGCCGCCACATTTAACTGGTTACCAGACCCTTTTGAATTTCTCATGAGTCTCTCACTGGCACTAGTTGTAACATAGTCTGTCATTGCAGGAATACCAGACTGGATGTTATACTGATTGTAGTCCACATATCCACTTAATCCCGATCTGGGAATATTTAAGTCATTTGAAAATTCTGGTTCCATTAACAAACTGGGATCAGGTTCTGCTTTGCAGTAAGAAGTGATAGGGTAGTTTTGGCTACTATCTAGAAGGTAATTTGATTCATTCATGTCAAAAGTGTCCTCAAGGTTATTTACATGAAACCTTTCATCTCCTACACAAGAATTATGCAAATTGAATGGAATGTTATTTTCAGTGAAGCTTTCAAGCTGTTTTCGTCGGTCAAGAGTAAATCTTATGTTGTAGTTTTCTCTTGGGTCTGTAGCACTGTTGATCACGTGACCATTCCTACCCAATGATGAACCTGACAAGTCATTTGTAAGATTATGAGAATCACACATCTTTGGTGCTACAGTGTGAGTAACATTGTGTGTACAAAGGTCTTTTTCAGAGTAGGCTTTGCCTGTCACATCCACACAACCATACGGTGAACAAGCAGCCAAGGTTGCTGTGTCAAATGTCCGATTCTTGGAAATCGGGTTCACTTCTTGGGGTGCTAGGTTTTTGACTTTAGGGAGGAGCTTGCCACCATTGTAAGAGTACATAGCAATATGCGATGGGTGAAGTCTACATAGCAGTGTCTCAGCGCTGTTCTTTACTCCATTTCTAATAGAATCAGCCAGGTAAACATTGTTTTTAAAATTGACTCCATCATCTAATGTTTGTGCCTGCAATTAAAACAACATGAAATTAAATGCTATTTTCTCTAACACAAACATTCTCAAATGGCATCGCAGACAATGTACGGAAAATCTAGGTGCACATGCATGATTATATTCAAAATTGCTCATAAAGAGAAATTCTGTACATGAATTAATTTTTTCACTTTTGTTCTTAAAAAGAGAAAGTAACTTCCACTGTTAGTCATATAAATAATATATTTAACTATACCTACTATAGTAAAACCAAATCCAAAAGTAGCTAATTTTAATATGTAATACACGTACATGTATATTGAAACATCATTGCATTTTAAAAAAATATTTTATTAGACATTGTGTAAGACAAAAAAAATTTAGAACCAGACAAACTTGAAAGACAGGCACATGCACTTTTGACCTTTTTTTACCTTGACTTGAGAAATGTTGTCATTGTTCTTATTCAGAAGAGGAACATTAGCAGCACCCTCTCCTGGTGAGGAAGGGTGGGAGTCTGGCTCGTTGATTTTGGCATAAATGCTGTCATCATCATCATCTTCATCATCGTCATCATCATTGTTACCCTGGGGGGCTTTACTTTGGAGTGAAGGTTTTGCAGGGATGAATGGAACTGGAAAGTCAGGCTGTAGAGAAAAGAACAACTAATGTTTTCATTCTATACATGCAGCTTTCACTACATCATCTTAATATTTGTAAAAGTACTTTTAATACACTGTTAATACAGTTTCTTCAAAAACTGATTTTGCAATATCCACTGAATTACCTCTGCTTTAACTGATAGTTTTCATGATAATCTAATTTTCACTTTCTTTACAAGCTTTTTGCAGATTGCACAAAATATATCTTCAAAAAATTGTCATCAGTAATTTATCAATTAGATTACATAGAAAATCACTGGGTGTACATATCACAAAACTAGGTCTACCCAAATTACCCGTAATACCTGTTACCTTTGATATATTTTTGCAAAAGATCTTTACAAACATTACAAATATTTTCTGAAAATATTGCTAAAGTACAGTTATATTTTGATGATTTAGCACATACTAGCTATAATAAATCAGATTTAAGACAGACTAAATCAGTCTGTAAACAAATTCAATTAAATCATTACATTTACATTTTTCATCAATTGTAGGGAACAACCCGAACAATTCAACATACACATATATTTTACATATATATAACTATGTAATTTACAACCACATGAAACAGAGTGCAAAGACATATAAAATATATAGTTTTGTATCTTGAAATATTAGCAATATTTGGCAAGAGTAAAAAAATGTAATAGAGGGCAAGGCTTCCTGAGCCATAGCTGTCTATCATTCTATCAACCAGAGCCCAATTATCACTCATATTTTAAGACTGTTATCATTTATTTTGTTTATCCTGCATCAAAAATTAAATATTGAATTCCAGAACAAGTTATTTTCAACAAATTAAGGCAATGCAGTTAAAAAAAAGATGCCATTGTGTAAATCATGGAATATAAATGACATCACAATGCTTTTAAAGATATCAGAATGCATGATAAATCTTGACCGAATGTATGGTTTACCCTTATATTCTTTATTCAGTCAATATAACTGGTAGTTGCAGGATAAACTGATAAACCTTCCATCAGGCAAATATTAAACATTGCGTACCATATACCTGAATATGTAAATAAAAGCTGGAAAAGATGCCAAGTCAATTTCAGACCAATCCTTTTGACACACAACGAGTTAATTATTTTCTCCCAACTATTACTCTTTAAAGAAGAATTTTTAAGAATATGTGATAACCTGTTAATTGAAAATTGTTCAAATTAATATAAGAAATACTGAGAAAGAGTTCATTTTCTGGTGGGCTGATGAATAAAGCAGGAATAATTAGGATGTAAAGGGAGAAAACAGATTTTTACATGCATTCACCCAAGACTCTTCAACAAACTTGTAAACATAAAATGGATAATGACCATCTCCATAAATACTCCCACTTATTGAAAGCATCATGCAATGAGTTTTACTCACTTCCAGAAATGAGCTCTCTTGCATTGAAGCTGGGACTTTCTAAAGCCCAAGTAAAAAGACATCAAAACAAGTTTCCTAATTTGCATCTTATTTTGGATAATTTTACCACAGTTTTCATTTCAATGGCATTTTGATACTTTTTTAATCATAAAAAACATTTAAAACAAATTTTGGATATGAAAAAATGTTGGTTAAAAAAAATACAAACTTTAAAGTAAAGACTTCTGGTTTTAAGACAATGATCTTACCACAGGTGGAAGAGGAACATTAGGAATGACAATATCATATGGCTGTAGATTACTCTTCACTGTGTGATAGCACCTCCTGATAAAAATAAACATTAAATGTTATACACAATAAAAACTTTTCAGTAATAAATGTAACTACATGCATTTCACATTTTCTAGACTTGGTGCCCTGTTTACAAAAGAACTGACAACTGGTACCCCATTTACAGAAAAACTGACAACTAAGTCTTAAATTATGACAAAGTTTTAAAATTATGCTACATGTAATTTTACTCTTTATATAAACAAAACAAGTCAATTTCAAGTTCTACATTTATTCTTTGCCTTTGGGAACTACTCAGCTATAGGACAAATCAATTTAACAAATTGCAACATCAAGAAACACACGCATACACATAACATCATTATACAAAACTGAATAAAGATAAAATACTTATATGTACATGTAAGGCCAATGGCCAATCATGTTGAATTGCACCTACAATATGTAAATCGTGGCGATATGTAACTGGCCAATGGCCTTAAAAATGTTTGTAGACCGATGGCCTGGTATTCTGAAGGTTGATGACCTTCATGTGTGAAGCCGATGGCCTGTAATAATTCATGCGACTGGCCGATGGTCTCAAATGTAAGTGGCCGATGGCCTTGTGAATAGCTTGGCCGATGGCCTTGAACTTCAGTGGCCGATGGCCTTGAACTTGAGAGGCCGATGGCCTTGGTGAATAACATGGCCGATGGCCTGCAAGTCTTGAAGGCCGATGGCCTTGTGGTAGAGGCCGATGGCCTATATGCGTGTGTGTCTAGGCCGATAGCCCTGCATATGTATGTAAAGTTCTAGTGAGATTTCTTTTGGGGGAAAATAACACATGTTCATGTGTTAAATGCCCAAACGAAGGTATTACAAATATTGTGAAATTGAAACAAATTGTAATAGCTGAGAGCCCCAACTCTTATGTGATCATGCAAACTTGCAAAAAATTAAATATCTTAATTTTTATTCTTCAGATTAAAATCACAGCTGGTAAATAATAAAATAAATTGCAAAAAATAGACTTGGGTCTAATAGGCATGGTTTTTGTTTGTTTGTTGGGTTTTTGTTTTTTGTAAAACAGGCCCAGGTCACCATTAGTACAGGTAATCAAGCAAATTTTATAATTATGTCAATCATCATACTATTCTATGAATAAAGTCTTTAATCCATGTAATTAAAGTAGACTGACCTTATACATATGATGACTCCACACAAAGTTAATGCAAACACAACCAGGACTATGCTTATGATAACCACTATCCTCTCTGTCTCCAAAGCTACAAAAGCAAGAATTGTGTCACAAGGAGGACAAGAAATATGAAAACCCTAGCATCAACCATTTAAAAGTTATGAGCATGCAAGGATAAAAGTTGTTTTGTGGACTAACAATCAGACAGACAAAAAACAGATAGCCAATAAAGACTAAAATTAAATGTCCCAATCTTAGATCAAAGGAGGAAAAATACAAGTTGTTTCAAAAAATATGTTTTCACTATCATGCACATGCCTTAAGAAAATGTCAATGAATGATATTTTATTGCACTTATGAAATATCTCTACAAGCTCAGGTAGTTCAAAATCACTTGAACAATTCATTAACAAGCTACACTAAAAAATATTGACCTCATGCTTTGAATTTGCATTGCAGAACTGAGAAAAGTTGGACTACAGTTATAGTAAAAGACAATGTCATAAAAATCTACTCCTAACAGACCTGCTATAGGAATAGTAGTATACACCGGATCTGTGCTTGGTCCAATCCCGCCTTCTGCCTCTGACTCCATCTGGAATCTGTAGGTGAATCCAGGCTCCAGATCAGGAACAACTGTAGAGTGTTCTCTACCCAACACAGTTACATTGAATAGGTCTCCTATACAATAAAATAATAAATTTAATTACCAACACAGTCACATTGAATAGGTCTCCTATACAATAAACAAGGATGTTTTGAAGCAAGTTTATTTAAAATTAGACTAGGGGTTATGGAGAATAAGAAAAACTTGTAAAAGTTTTTGATGATAATGCTGACATCACACAAATTTTGACCACTAGCTTGTATGAGCCTTTAGCTCAGGTGAGCTAAATCTGCTTGACTCTGTGGTTTGACTCACCTGTACAGTTTCCTGACATTTCAGCCATGCAGTAGTTTATCTTGTATGTCTGTATATAACCAGCAGTCTCGTGACACTGGAACGGGTCCCACTCTACTTTAATACTGGTCTCAGGACTGTACGGAGACAGATGAAAATTCTTTGGGGCAATCAGTGGTTCTGTAATAGAAATGGTTTTGGTTAAACTTATAATCTATAAATATTGTTATAGGCTCCATCAGTGCAAAACTATTAAACCCTGTATGATAGCCTATCAATCTTTTTTTGGAAATGGACCCAGGAGTACATGTAGTTCAAACATTACATTTCTTATAATCATTTTTGTTAAGAAATCTTTTTAAAACAATAAAAGCAATGGCAACCAAGAACATAAAATTATTGGAAAACTTATTTTAAGAGTCTAACCTACCTAAAAATTCATAACATTACAAAAAATATCTGAAGGTTTATCTGAAAACTTTTTAATCTATTGCAAGAATGAATACTTACTGCCATTTTTCTTGTAGATGCAGGTATTCCATTTAATGCCAGAACTTGTCCAGTTGGGTGAACCTGAGCCTGGGGATCTGACCTCCACAGAAATCCCAAACAACATATTATGTACAGACTTCTTGTCTACTTTAATTGTGTGATGTGTATTATTGGGATGTAGAGTCTTCCAGGTGATAGGTTCCTGAAATGAAGATAAAACTTTTATTATTCTAACCAGAAACAGAAAAATATTGTCAGAGATCTAAGACCACATCACACCCTGACTGACTTGGACTTCAGTGTGTAGATATATACGTCTAAGATAACTACATTCCTCCTTTCAAGCTTCTTGACCTTGAAAATACCAATGACTCTGACAGAGGCTGTTTTTCAGTGCTATCAGTTTAAAATGTCAGTCATGGAACTGATCAAATGAAAGCGTTAAGTCAGGAAAAAATAATTTTCTGCCTTTAATATCAGAGGCATCATTCAAAATCATCCTGGATCTTTCAAATTCCAGTTCATAAACCAGCCAGAATTTATAAAAATCATGTTTCTTTTTTAAAATCTAATGCAAATTAGCATAAAACTAACAAATCTGATTGTTTCCTTGTTTCCTACCTGACAGTTTTGGATGAGGTGGGCCCCTCGGCACCAGTACAGGGTATAAGACATGATCTGGGTGGCAGGGCTTAGGGAGGAAGGCTTCTGCCAGCTGATATCGATCTGCTCCTTGTCTGAATCAATATTGGACTGTTCTACCAAAAATTCATCTGGATGCTCTGGTTCTACAATGAACATAAATTAACAATTAACATGAATCTTTTAATTAACCATATACAATTGAAGGAAGAAGAATTTGGATTTCTATGATGCTTTCTTTTTTAAAATCACTTTAAATATGGGCTAATTTCATCTTGATACTCATGTACAATTTAGAAAACTTAACTTAAGTTTTATTACCTTTGCTCTGTGAAGGAATGTACACAAATGCTGCATGTTCTGATGTGCCCACTTTAGTAGCAGCCCTAATTTGAATTTCATAGGCATGGTTGATGTCTAGACTGAACTCGTGGTTAGTAACGTTGCCTATGCTTCTAGGGATTGTTACACTTGTTTGTAGATCCTTTAGTGACACATGATAGTGTAAAATTTCACCATTGCTTTGATCTTTCTTCACAGGCTGAAAAAGGAAAATACATTAATATGATTCATTCTGATTTTGTAGAACTGTGCCATGATCAACAAACAATTTTGCTTCCTAATTTGTTTTCACAATCAAGTTTACAATAAACTTTTACAGTCAGGATGAAATTGGTGACTTCATAGTAAGCATCATTTAATTATAAGTGTGTTCCCTATATGCTTGTTTTACTGTAATGGTCCAATCTTACCTTCCAGTAAACAATAATTTTTCGACAAAATCTCAAGCCACAAGGATATTCAGCATAACTCCCCAAACGTACATCAGGTGCCCCCGATGGCACTGAAATAAGGAAAATAATATGATGAAAGTATTAGATAAATGCACATTTCAATCACAATTGTTATATATTAAAAATTTGTTTCTATGCAAATCTATACAAAAAATTCTAATATTTCTAATGTTTTACTGAACAGACATAAAATAATTGATGTTTGACTGCTGAGTGAGATGTTGGACCTGTCGATGAGATGTTGGACCGCTTACATCATTTGCATACGTTGGTGTTAAGACAGTACAAGATATATGCATGTCAGAAAATATTAAAACAAGAGGCCCAGGGGCCACAGCGCTCACCTGAGCACATCGGGCTTGAATTTACTCCCCTCCCCCCCTCCAGGCGGTCATCATTTGAACAAACTAGAATCTACACTACCTGAGGATGATTCCATATAAATATCACTAATCATATTAAGCTTTGAAGTACTTGAAAAGAAGATTTTAAAAGGTTTCCCTATATATCCTTATGTAAAACTTGGGTCGGCCATTTTGGCCCCTCCCTAGCCCCGGGGGTCATGATTTGAAGAAACTTGAATCTGCACTACCTGAGGATGATTCCACATGAGTTTCATCTTTCCTGGCTCAGTGGTTCTTGAGAAGAAGATTTTTAAAGATTTTTTCTATATATTCCTATGTAAAAATTTGGGTTGGCCATTTTGGCCCCACCCTTGCCCCGGGGGTCATGATTTGAACAAATTTGAATCTACACTACCTGAGGATGATTCCACATGAGTTTCATCTTTCCTGGCCCAGTGGTTCTGGAGAAGAAGATTTTTAAAGATTTTTCCTATATATTCCTATGTAAAACTTGGGTCGGCCATTTTGGCCCCACCCTTGCCCCGGGGGTCATGATTTGAACAAACTTGAATCTACACTACCTGAGGATGATTCCACATGAGTTTCATCTTTCCTAGCACAGAGGTTCTGGAGAAGAAGATTTTTAAAGATTTTTCCTATATATTCCTATGTAAAACTTGGGTCGGCCATTTTGGCCCCCTCCTACCCCCGGGGGTCATGATTTGAACAAACTTGAATCTACACTACCTGAGGATGATTCCACCTGAGTTTCGTCTTTCCTGGCCCAGTGGTTCTTGAGAAGAAGATTTTTAAAGATTTTTCTAATATATTCCTATGTAACATTAGGGTCGGCCATTTTGGCCCCACCCTTGCCGCGGGGGTCATGATTTGAACAAATTTGAATCTACACTACCTCAGGATGATTCCACATGAGTTTCATCTTTCCTGGCCCAGTGGTTCTGGAGAAGAAGATTTTTAAAGATTTTACCTATACATTCCTATGTAAAAGTTGGGTCGGCCATTTTGGCCCCACCTTTGCCCCGGGGGTCATGATTTGAACAAACTTGAATCTACACTACCTGAGGATGATTCCACATGAGTTTCATCTTTCCTGGCCCATTGGTTCTGGTGAAGAAGATTTTTAAAGATTTTTCCTATATATTCCTATGTAAAACTAGGGTCGGCCATTTTGGCCCCCTCCTACCCCCGGGGGTCATGATTTGAACAAATTTGAATCTACACTACCTCAGGATGATTCCACATGAGTTTCATCTTTCCTGGCCCAGAGGTTCTGGAGAAGAAGATTTTTAAATATTTTTCCTATATATTCCTATGTAAAACTTGGGTCGGCCATTTTGGCCCCCTCCTACCCCCGGGGGTCATGATTTGAACAAATTTGAATCTACACTACCTGAGGATGATTCCACATGAGTTTCATCTTTCCTGGCCCAGTGGTTCTGGTGAAGAAGATTTTTTAAAGATTTTCCCCATATATTCCTATGTAAAACTAGGGTCGGCCATTTTGGCCCCACCTTTGCCCCGGGGGTCATGATTTGGACAAACTTGAATCTACACTACCTGAGGATGATTCCACATGAGTTTCGTCTTTCCTGGCCCAGTGGTTCTGGAGAAGAAGATTTTTAAAGATTTTTCCTATATATTCCTATGTAAAACTAGGGTCGGCCATTTTGGCCCCACCCTTGCCCCGGGGGTCATGATTTGAACAAACTTGAATCTACACTACCTGAGGATGATTCCACCTGAGTTTCATCTTTCCTGGCCCAGCGGTTCTGGAGAAGAAGATTTTTTAAAAATGCCATTAATTTTTAACAAATTCATGATTATCTCCCCTTGGAAAAGGGCGTGGCCCTTCATTTGAACAAACTTGAATCCCCTTCACCCAAGGATGCTTTGTGCCAAGTTTGGTTGAAATTGGCCCAGTGGTTCTTGAGAAGAAGTCGAAAATGTGAAAAGTTTACAGACAGACGGACAGCTAGACAGACAGACGGACGCCGGACAAAATGTGATCAGAAAAGCTGACTTGAGCCTTCGGCTCAGGTGAGCTAATGAAAGGTATAATAAAATATAATAAGACATTTATTGACTGTGTTCTTGGGCAAAATGCATTTTGTCGACCCTCAAACCAAACAGTTTGGTTCTTGGGGCCGACAAAATGCATGTTGCCCTCGACCTCGGTCAATAAATGTATAGTTTTTACTTGATCGTTTGGCTTGGAGGAGCTTTAAACATCATATTCCTTACATCTTCCATTAAAAAAATTTATTGCAACAAAAATAGACTGTGGGAGAAACAGAGAGAGAGAGTCACCTTCTTATTTAATTAGATGGACTTTCATAGTAAAAATAATCTTGAAGATTAAAATTTAAATTAAATTAAATTTACTTAATTCTTAAATAAAAAACTCAGCTGTGATGCACTGGGCATAAATTTAAGGGATAGATTTCGCATCAATCTCTTTTTTTCATAATCTTCAAACCATTCATATTACAAATTTCTTTTTAAGCTCTTTAGATTTTGGTTCTGTGACTGTTGAAAATGTGAAGTTTTAAATGCCTACTACCATCCTGAGATATTTTGAAGGATGATTATAACTTTGTCATGGTCAAGTGTGAGAATTCAATATCCAAATGCGAGATGAAGCAGTGTTTTACAATGGAGACATGCAGATAATTAACTCAATCGTTGATGCACATTAGGAAATGCAAAGCCAGTACTACTCATCTTCCATCTCCTTAATCAAGACTTTTTAATAAAAGTCATTATTCTTTATTGGATGTTAAGTCATTATTTTAATAATGGTTGCATGATCAAATTACATAAAATATCATTCACTGGTGACAATGTGATTAATTTACCATCATAAATATTGTGAGAAAAAATCAAAATGCAAATCACTTTCTAAGCAAGCAGACATTAATCATGTTTATCGGTAGTCAATCATCATAATTAAGTAACCAATATTATTACTCTTACTGCATCAATTTTCAAGAAGGCTGTATCAACAAACTAGAGATTTTTGCCACTTGTAGCGGTATACTGTAAATAACTTTTTATTTGCGAGAACTTATTTTCACATTGTAGCGAAATAGTGTGCTCAAGAAAATTTAATTCTCGCATATAATAGTATCCTTAGGATTATATAGATTATATAGAGCAATTACCATAATTCCTGAAAAATTTGTCTCGCTCATCAAGAGTCAATGACTATCTCACGAAAATATGGTGTCGTGAAAATTTAGTGATCTACAGTAATTAAACTTAATTTATAAAATGAGAGGGTAACCAAATAAAAACCAGAAGTCTCTGTCGAGACTGAAGCTCTACTGGTTTGTACTTGTAGCAAAGGAAGAGAAAAATACTTATAAGCAGATGGGAACTGAAACTTTAAAACAGCAATGAATTATATTACATTATATTATAATCAGACTAAAACTGTATTTGGAGTAGCATTTTAAGAGTATTTAACTGAAATTTCTATTTTTAGTAACCAAGGCAACACCGTTCATTGAAGTCAAAAACCGATACACAGAATTATGTATCTTAGTGTAGTCTACTTGTGTGCCAAGTTATATTGAAATCAGACCAAAACTGTAGGAGGAGTAGGATTTGAAAGAAATTTCTATTTTTAGTAACAACGGCAACACCGCCCATCAAAATCAAAAACCGATATTAAGAATTATGTATCTTAGTGTAGTCTACTTGTGTGCCAAGTTATACTGAAATCAAACCAAAACTGTAGGAGGAGTAGCATTTTGAAAGAATTTCACAGAAATTTCTATTTTTAGTAACCACGGCAACACCGCTCATCGAAATCAAAAACTGATACACAGAATTATGTATCTTAGTGTAGTCTTCTTGTGTACCACGTTATATTGAAATCAGACCAAAACTGTAGGAGGAGTTGCATTTTGAAAGAATTTCACAGAAATTACTATTTTTAGTAACCGCGGCAACACCGTTCATCAAAATCAAAAGCCGATATATAGATTTATGTATCATAGTGTAGTCTACTTGTGTGCCAAGTTATACTGAAATCAGACCAAAACTGTAGGAGGAGTAGCATTTTGAAAAATTGTTTACAGACGGACAGACAGCTAGACAGATGGACGACGGACGCATTACTATTGCATAAGCTCTTCTGGTCTCTGACCAGTAGAGCTAAAGATGTGTTTGTGAAACACTGATGCCCCCATATGGCAGTAGTTTACATTAGTAGTTTAAATTTTTCAAAAAAATATTTCTAACTCCAAAGTCAAGGTTAAAGTAAGTGGTAACCAAGGGAAAGACTTGTCCCAATAAAACACCTGTAAAATGAGAAAGTTCTAGCACCAGCTGTTCAAAATTTTGTCAAACTCCAATGTCCAGGTCAAAGTTGTTGGTAACCAAAATTCTTGTCATATGAAAAAGATATGTGAAATATGAAAACCCTAACACCAACCATTCAAAAGGTATGAGTGTGACCAAGGTTAAAGTTTTTCAAGTTTGTAAAACTCCAAAGTCAAGGTCAAAATTGTTGCAATCCAAAGGAGATTGTCACAGACAATAAACATGTGAAGTATGAAAAACCCTCTCACCAACCCTTCAAACATAATGGCCATAACAATATAATAAAAACAATTTTTACTGTTTTCAATCAACACAATGATTTAATCACCTTCAAATTTTGTACTGCTCAGGTTGCCAAATCATCATATTGACCTCAAAAAGAATTAAATAAATTAAACTTTTTTAGTTCTTTACCATCTTCTTTTGTTAATTCCATATTAGCCACAACATCACTCCAGAAACCTGTCACTATGCCGCGGGAGGTCAGGGGTCGAGCTTGGATTTCCACTGTGTACCATGTGTGAGGTTTTAAATTACAAATCACTACAAACTCCCTCTCTGTCTCTATTTCCTGTAAAATAAATCTTTTCTGAAACCACAGTAATGCTCAATCTTCTCTAGGTCATTACCTCAAGTTCTGTAAAGTTACTTTGTTACTTCATCTGAAAAAATAGGGTTATTTTTTAAAAAGAATCAGTAAATTAACTCTCTTTCAGTTTTTATGACATTCTTTTAATTTTCTCTATTTCCATATAAGCCTCCAGCTCAGGTGAATGAAAAAAATACATGTCATCAAAAAGAAGACTTTTACAGTAACTTCTATTCTTCTAAGTACCGGTTTATTAATTAAATTAGGAATGCAATGGCAGACATATACCTCTGCTGCCTCCATCCACTGGGATTTATACTGAATTCTGTAGAGTTTACGGTTGTTTTTGTCTGAGTGATTCCACTGGATGTTCATACATGTACTATTAGGATTAATATCCACATCTGTCACACTGTCAGGCTGCACTGTAACGAAAATAAAGTAGTTCTGTGTTAATTTGAGGTAAAAGTGGAACCTACAATATGTGTTCTTTTATTTTAAAGCTATATATGGCATATCTGAGGTAAAAAATAAACATACAAGATGAGGTATAGAATTACATGATATTTGCTATTTACGTTCAAATTATTATTATATTTTTCTGAAAAATATTCCCTTGTTACTATAGTTAAATTGACTTTAAACTGTGTCTGATAATTAAATTCTGAGTCTGAAATCAATCAGTTATTGTTTTACCTCTCAAATATCTATGAAATTTGATTGATTTAAATTGTGTAATGTACATGAAAGTCCTCTCTTTATATAAAGTAACAAAACAAATAGAAAGATCATCTTAATTTTAGTTGTTCTGAAGTTATCAAAAATACACCCTATATGACTTTAATTCATGGTTTGATAGTCCTAGGCTTCACAGTATAAAAGATAAGATCCAAATACAATTTTAAATGGATAACTATCAAATTCTAAAATGAGGTCACCATGACCTTTTTTATGCTCACAACACACTTTCTCATCCAGCTACATCATCTGACTATGTTTGATGTTCTTAGGTCTCACAGTATGAAAAATATCTTCCAACACACCCCGGTAACTTGATCGAGTACATATGTATATTAAATTCCAAATGTGGCCATAGTGTCCAACCATAAGGTTGTATGTCACAGACCTTTTCTCGTTAGATGCAGCAACTGACAAGATTTGATAGACCTTGATCTCTCAGTGTGCAAATACGATCATGACACAATTTGACAATGTATATCTATAAGGTTCTTAATTGTGGACATTGTGACCTACATTTGTATCAAGACACGCCTTTCACTGAGGATGCATCAATAGACAAAGTTTGAGCTTAAGGTGGAATGCCACACCAAATTTTTATTTTATAGATCTCTGAGGCAACCTTTTAACACAATGGTTTCAGCATTGCAAGGTTGATATATGCTCTTAATTATTTTATATGATTTTTCTTGTATTTTTTCAAAGAAAATGAAAAAAATTGTTTACACCCAAATTAGATGCTTTCTTGTAAAAATTTTGCTGTAAATGAATGCATCACATGAATACCTTATAAAATATGTAAAGAAAAGCCGTATAAATATCAAAAAATTTAAATAAAAAAAATATTTATGAAAATGAAACACATAACTTTTGAATATTTTTTAAATTTGTGGTTAAAATCTTCTTAAAACTAGTCATAACTGGAGAGAACATGTTCGTTAATCATATTTTAAAAAGAAATTGAAAGGAAATAGCCAAATTTTTGAGAAATTAATTTTTTTAATTTTGGCCAAACCCGCGCGCGATCAAAATTAAACCGATCCCAACCATAATTGTACAATTATTGGAAATAAATAACATTTCCCCAAGAACACAAGTCTGATTAGGTGTAATAAGGCTTTAAACATTATTGAACTTGACAATAAAATAGATTTCTTCATTGTAAATACACGAAGAGGCAATAAATAAGCCTTTTATTCATTTTCTGTTAAGAATTTTCCACAATTTTAACCTCAAGATGTTGGTCTCCAGCTTCTCTTTGTTTTGTATTTTCTGTTAATTTTGATCGGGTTAGGTCCAAATATTAAAAAAATTAATTTCTGTAAAATTTCTCAATTTTGTTTCAATTTCTTTTTAAAATATGATTGACAAACATGTTGTCCTCAGTTGTGACTAGTTTTAGGGTGTTTTTAAGTTAACCATAGGTTTAAAAAATATTCACAAATAATATGTTTTATTTTCATAAATAATTTTTTATAAAAAAATCAATATGTCTATTCAGCCTTTCTTTACATATTTTATTACATATTAATATGATGCATTCATTTACAGCAAACTTTTATCTCGAAAACAACTTATTTGGATATAAATATTTTTTTTCATTTTCTTTGAAAAAATACAAAAAAATTCATATACAAAATAATCAAGAGCATATATTGGCCTTTCAATGCTGAAACCATTGTTGAAAAAGGATGACACAAAGATCTATAAAATAAAAAGTTGGTGTGGCATTCCACCTTAAAAGGCCTCACAGTGTGAAAGATATAACCTAGACAGTAGACACTAACAGGAACATATAAGGATAGATGGAAGAGAAAGCCCAAAATATAATATAGTCTGTCAAAGGTCAACTAGGTTTAGTGACCAGTTACAAAAAGAAAATATTGATATAAAGTAATATTTTTGCCATTTTAAAAATAATTTAACAATTTTAGAACACATGTATAATACCAATAGACTCTGTGTTCTGATTGAAAGTTGTGATGACTTGGTCGTTGGTTTTCTCATTCTGTACAATGATTCCCATACTGTAGGGCATATTCCACCTTAGGCGGTCCTTACTGTTGTCTGAAACCCACACACAGGAAGTATTGGTCTGCTGGGGACAGTCATACTGCTTGTTATCCGAGCTGAAAAGTAATTCAATGTGTGTCATTTTTCATTTAAAGGAATTTCATAAAGATTTTAAATGGTATAAATTTGTGGTATTTAATATTTGTAATAAATTCTTGCTTTAAAGCACTTGCTTTCCTGTTTTAAAACATATGAAACTTTCATTGTAACAAATTAGCCCCATAAGCAAAAATAAACCATAAACAAGAATTATACAAGATCCCTCCAGAAATTAAAACTGGAAATCAAGGCAATTTATTTTCTCTGCTAATTTAGACTTTTAGAAAATTTATGCTTATATAAATCATCTGTTTACATGTATTATCAAATTAGAGAAACATAAATTAAACAAATATGCATGTATTCCCAAAATGTGGTCCCTGACGGACTGCAAGATGACATTAGAAGTTCCCTAAAGGACTTGATGAATGAGTCTGACCTATATTTAGATTGATAATTTTAGCCTTGATTAAATGCTTAGAAATTAAGTATAATGTTTTTGTTTCATTAGAAAGTTGTAAACAGCTTAAGGCCAAAAACAATTGCCCCAGATGTTAGATGTTGGTGATCCAGTCATTAAATTTCGGACTGCAGACTTTCATGAAAAAAAATTATGACAGCTGATTAGAATAAACTTATGACGAAAATAACTGAAAATCAAATAGAGCATAACATGATCATAAAAGAGAAATCAAATTAAGATTTATATATATAAATGAGCTTTTAATGTTAAACTAAATCAGTTTTATTATTTTTGTTTTTATCAAGTACTTCCAATATAAAACTGGTTAATATTAATTCATGAACCAATATAATTATTCTAAAAGAATTTTTCATCAAAGGAATAATTTCCTTTACTAATTAAGTGTAAATTTATTTTACATGTACAAGAAATTAATCTGATGCAATGATGCTCTATTTTAATCTGAAGATGAAGCTCAGGTGTTTAGGGTTATGCTTAGTATCAATTAGGCATTTCAGGTGTACTGCCATTCTAGTGAGTTTATAGAGAATTCAGAGTTCAGTGAGTTTAATGATACACTTACGCTACTGCCCAAACTAGTTCCACTTTTATATCCTCCATGTGGAGATAATCCACACCAAGTTTCCACGTACAATTCATTTTCTCCCAGTTGAAAACGCGACAGCTGATGTCGTCCTTATTAACGCTCTGTGGTTTATCTACAAATATGCATCTAAAATCATTTACTTTTGTAAAATTTAAAGTATTTAAATTAAAAGATAATTAATGCAAGATACAAAATAAATATGAGGTATACATAAATGTTAGAATATTATATAATAGTTAATTACCCAATAAATCAAATTAAAAAACATAATTGCTTTTTTTAAGCCAACCAACATTGTGTTCTAGTTCTGTTGATAAAAAACAATAATGAGTACATTAGCAAGTTAAATTATCTTATCTCCAAAATTTTCTTTATAAAAATAAACTAGAACTGTCCAAACGGTACTAATTATGGGTTTTTCAGAAGTTTTTTTTTCCATAAAAAGATATGGACCATTATGAATTTTTTCTTCCAGTGACCTTGAACTTCCCCAAATGACCTTGGGTCAAGGTCATGACACACCCTTGGGTTATGGGCAATCTTTGTGTGAAATGAGAACCTACCAAGTTTATCCATAAGAAAGATATGGACTGGACACGAATTATGAAATTTTTCTTCCAGTGACCTTGAACTTCCCCAAATGACCTTGGGTCAAGGTCATGACACACCCTTGGGTTATGGGCAATCTTTGTGTGAAATGACAACCTACCATGTTTATCCATAAGAAAGATATGGACCGGACACGAATTATGAATTTTTTCTTCCAGTGACCTTGAACTTCCCCAAATGACCTTGGGTCAAGGTCATGACACACCCTTGAGTTATGGGCAATCTTTGTGAAATGACAACCTACCAAGTTTATCCATAAGAAAGATATGGACCGGACACAAATTATGAAATTTTTCTTCCAGTGACCTTGAACTTCCCCAAATGACCTTGGGTCAATCTATAAGAAAGAACTTCCCCAAATGACCTTGGGTCAAGATTATGACACACCCTTAGGTCATGGGCAATCTTTGTGTGGAGTAGTAGATTCTAATATCCCTCTGTAAGAAAGATATAGACCAGACACGTTTGCACAGACAGCTAGACAGACTGACAGACGGACAAGGTGATTCCTATATACCCCCCCCCAAACTTCGTTTGCGGGGGGTATAAATATACAGCATAAATTATGATATACGGTACTAATTATTATAATTTGTTTTATTTTACATAAAAAAATACTGGTAAATATATTTCATCATAGTAACAGCTTAGAAATGGAGAGAACAAAGTTTTTGAAAATGAAAAAATCTAATAAATGTTTGCTTCCTTGAATTTCTCCAACAGGTGTGAGTTATTGAAAATGAACCAATATTCAGGTATTTTAATAAGTAATAATCAAAGAAGAAATTTTTGGATTAAGTTTAATTCTTGGAAGTTATCCTTCCTGTCAACCGGTCTATATATAGACCTAAGTTGGCATGCAATGCTTCAATCCTCAACAAATCTTAAATTACACAAGTATTATTAAGGGAAACTGAATTTCATATATTCTTAAAAAGTTGTGTAAAAAGTACATTCATAATTCCAGATTTATTGCTAGTTTACCTTTTACTTATTTAATGCCCTACATGAATTCATCAACAATCTGATACTTCCGCTTTACAGACTGAAAGTACGCGTTTCTTATCCTTGACTGCATTTTATTATTTTGATATCAATCAGACACTAAAATAATAAACAGTATATCTGATTATTACCTTGGTTAGTTATGTTGATATCTATTAAAATCAAAAAGGGATATAGTTAGCCTAAATTCTAATCAAACCATGCAAAACGTTATGCGTAGAACTACTTTTTATACTTCAAACCCCAACTCTTACAAATCTACACTACCTTGTCATAAAATCTTGAACAAAAACGTTTTGGATATCTGTTAGAGAATTACAGTCTTATTATCATGATATACCATATAAGAAAACAGCACCAAAAACCTTAACCTGGGATGCTGCTGACACCAACACCAATACTAGTAATTTTCCTCTTTCACAAAATCATGGCTTGGGCAGTTGGGGTCAAAACTAACAGATGCACAGAGGTTCTTACTTACAAATATGTATCCCAAAACTTTGTTTAAGGGGGGGGGGGGGGTGTGTAAAAAACTATATTGTACTGTACAAGTGGAAATTTCAGCAAGACGCAAATTTAGCGATTTGACCTCAAAAATCGGTATTTTAATTTTAGCGAGAAGCAATTTTAGCGATTATAAAATGGCGACTTTATAAGAAGATATAACAACTACAACTCAATTTATTTTTAGCGATATTTAATTTTAGCAATCTCAGGACCCTCGCTAATAATGCCAAAATTAAATCCTCACTAAAAATTCTACTTATACAGTATATAATAAAACTTTTGACTTTGTTTCCAATTACATTATATACATAATTTTAATTAATCCCACTTACATTCCACCTTGACCACCTGCCATCCAATGACCTCTGTCTTCCCCTTGGTCTTGTTGATTTTACAGATGTAATTTCCACTGTCTTCTGGGGAGAGGATAGGCATCCGTAGTTTAATGCTGCGCGAGTTGACAATAGAGACATACTGAGAGGGAATGATTTCGTTCCTGTTCCGTGTGAAGTACATGGACTTGGAGTCCTCATCTAATGGCTTGGTCAGGTTACAGGACAGGACTAGGTCATCTCCAATGTAGACGTACGGGTCATTGGGAACAACCACTGTGGAAACACACATAAAAAGTTCTATACATGTTTTTCATGATGGCATTTTTTAAATCGATCATTTAATTAAGAAATTTTAGTCATATAAAAACAATTTCCACTTTAAATCTGAAACAACATTCAACCAAAAGTCTCTACCAAGACTCCAGTTCTACTGCAATGGCTTGTACTTATAACAAAGGAAGAGAAAAGTAGCAATTGGGACTTGAAACTTTACAACAGCAATGAATAGAATAATGATCTTTGATTTAGTCTCTTTTTGTGGCAAGATTGCAATAAGACTTCAACAGTAGGAGTAGCCTTTTAAAAGAATTTTACATAAATTTCAATTTAAGCTACCATGGGAACATCATTCATCAGACAATTATGTTTCTTAGTGTTGCCTTGAAATTCTTGTGTATCAAGATACATTGAAATCAGATGAAAGCTATAGGAGGAGTAACATTTTGAAAGTATTTCCTATAGACAGACAAACAGATGACAGACAACTCATTATCGCATTAGCTCTTCTGGCTCCGGGGCCATAAAACTAAGACGAGCTCACTTTTGATCTCAGTCTCACTATTAGAAAAGGAATATATGGTGAAAAAGAGAGAGTGAGAGACTGAGATCAAAAGCGAGCTCATGGAGAGGACTAATATAGGCAGTGCCTGCTGTCCAATCCTGTTATGTTTATACATAATAAAATATTGTTTAAATTTAATTTAAAATGAGCTTGTCTAAGTTTTATGGCCACAGGGCCATAAAACATAGAAAAACTCACTTTTGATCTCAATCTCACTTTTACCAAAGGGATATATAGCGGAAAAGTGACACTGAGATCAAAAGTGAACTCATCTAAGTTTTATGGCCCCGGAGCCTGATCTTTGACCAGTTGAGCTAAAAATAAAAATATTACCACATATAAACTGACATAATGAATAAAAACTGTAATTTAAACTGATCCCAGCCTAACTCAAACAATGATTTAATATGCAAAAATGTAATGATTAATCTTGTAGAGTCTAGTGGTGGTAATTAATTACCATATTCTTTCATTGTTTCTAAAATGTTGTAAACAAGAAATGAATTTGATAATTTTTTTCTGCCAGTGACCTTGATATTGCCAGAAAGACCTTAGGTTAAAGTCTAGAAAACCCTATGTCATAAAAATCTTTGTACCAACCCTAATTAATAACAAAATTGAAGTATGTCGAGCTATACTGCTTTTAATTTGAACATAACTTTTCTGGCTCATTTGTTCTTGAGAAGATTTTAAATTATATGTATTCTACCGATGCATTTCCACTATTTCTTAATTATCTCCCCTTTGGAGAGGATTAGACAACATGGAGTCCCTAGCTTTTACCTGAGGATACTATGTGCCAAGTTTGGATGAAACTTGCCCCACGGTTCTCGAGAAGATGAAAGTGTGATAAGTTTTTGTCAATATCCATGACAACAGACATCAAACAAATTTGCTCAGAACAGCTAACTTAAGAGCCTCTGGCTCAGGTGATTGAGCTAAAAAATGGATACCTGGATTAATATATATTAATTTTATAGGCATACCTTGGTTGTAAATAATGCAAATATCAAATTTTTAAGATATTAAGAAATTGAAAATGTTTAAAATTCTATCTTTCTTTATAAATCTATATAACTTTTTAATGTATCTTAGTGTAGTCTACTTGTGTGCTAAGTTATGTAATTTGAAATCAGACCAAAACTGTAAGAGAAGTAGCATTTTGAAAAATTGTTTACAGACAGATGGACAGACAGAAGAAATATACATTACTATTGCATAAGCTCTTCTGGTCTCTGACCAGTAGAGCTAAAAATCAACAATGATTAAAGTAGATCAAAAAGTTCCAATCACAGACAAAAAGTTACCATTTCAATGAGATTCATTGTAACAACTATGGTTTCTTGAAATTGTCGTTGTTATTTAAAATTCTATAATTTCAATTTTCATACATGTTATAAAAACCAGTGTACAGAAAATAATTTCATATACAGTGTAACATTTACTCTATAATACCCTGGAGCTTTCTCATGCCTACTGCACAGATATCATACACAGAGATTTAAAGGTTATTGCCAGCAAAATAAGTAAATTTGTATTAAATTATTCACTTCCCCTCTTTATATTGCCATGTAAGCCTAATTTTCTCTTCATTTTCACAATTTATTAATATTAAAATAGCAAGTGGTAAGCATATGATTACACCTAGTAGACTGTTGACGGTGCCATTTAATAGATGAAACTTCTCATCTCTGACGTAGATTTAGACCAAGGGAGGTCCCTACCATCCCAGCTTCAGAAACCTTATTCTAGAGAAAGTTAATGGAAATTAAAAATTTTTTTTGTTTTGTTGAATTTTCTTTAATAGACATGAAATTTCAAAAGTAGGTCATGAAGACCAACTTTTTAGTTACAATTCACAGACCTAAGGCAGTTAACTAAAAAAAAGTTTGATGATTCTAATCTGGGCTTTTTGTAGTTTAAAACTTTTGCAGCTCTTAAAACTTCAGGTTTTTTTTTTATGTCAACGATAATGAATGACGATTAACTATACTTGTGACATAGCAGCAACTCAGGGTCTAACAATTTGAATTCTTACATTGGACTGGCAGGCCAATCAACAAAGAAATTGTTAGACCAATACTTCTGTTGGACTTTTTATAAATAATAAATATATTAGAAAGATATTTATAAGGGTTTAACAAAAAAATATAATTGAACCTACCTCCATCTTGAAACATAAATCCAAGACTATTTTCCAAAGAACCCAGAAGAATGATCACTAAACAAAGCCCACAGAGAAGCAGCATGGTAATCACTTCATTTATTTACATGGTTAGGGTAGATTTTTCACTCTGAAATTAAAAGGAAAACAATCTTTATAGTAGAGCAGCACACGATCAATTTTTGTTTTTTTCCCTTGAATTATGATACAATAAATGTTGTTACGGTTTTCAAGGCAATTGTTTTCTCTGCAGTTCTATCATCACGGATCTACATGCAGTGAAAAAGTTTTTAACTGAATCATGGAATAATTATAAAAATGTAACTGCATTCTGTGGTTGGCTATATTCATATTTGACAATTTGATGTTAGTAAAAAAAATTTTGCTACAATTATATTTTGCAATTTTCAGAATCAGTGTCCACATCTTTGACTTTAGCAGAAGTTTAATTTTTAGATAATATCTAAAATATATATAAAATGCTCATAGAGTACTGTTATTTATCAAAATATATCCAAAGTTATGGGCTATATAACTTGCAACAAAATAATCATTCTGATACATTTCTGGTGTGTCTACAATTAGTTGCAAAGCTTCTATTAAATTTATGACAAAATCCAATACAATACATATTATTACATGGATTGAATCAAACATTTTGATATGTCATTTGAATATGGAAAACCATGAATAGTTTTTTTTATTCAAATGAAAATTAGAATTTGAATTTTATAATGCTTTGTTGACATCCACTGAATGGATGTTTTTAGCAATACAAAGCAAAACTAAAATGAAATTACCAAATCACCCTCTCCCTCATGTTTCAAAAGTAAAACATTTCCTTTATTGCCTAATTACAAAGTGTTTGTTAAATGTCAAAGTAAATATCACACATCAAATATTTAAATAAAAAACAAAAAAAAAAGGAGGAAATGCTTACGATTATTTTAAATGATTTTTTAAAATTTCATTTCTTTGCGGTTCTTAAAAAATCAAGCTATAATTGAGTCAAGAGTAAACATTTAATGTATTGAGACCTATTATCCTTGGGTGCATATCATTACCGCTACATTTTCGAAATTTTCATTACCGCTACAAAAAATGTTACATTACCACTACATAAAAAGTATATACATTACCGTTACATTGCCTCTCTCGTTAGCCAAACACTTATGCGTCTACAGTACAACCTATATACATGCATAAGACCCGTTTCCCTGCTAACCAAGGGGACTTCGAGCAGGATGGTTTTTTTTTAATTAAAATCAATTATATTTCATAAAACACACACACACAAAATTAAAATCAAGCACTGTTCATAGATAAAATCCTAAGTTTTGTCAAATGTTTTTTACACTAGCCTTGAAAGCCATTTGCGCGACATATTGTTGTATATTTGTAACAAACTTCTCAATGGTGGCCATAATGTTCAGATGACGCTAAATAATTAAATTTCAACTGCAGAGTTATTTATATATACTCTGATTAGATAGTGAGTGAATTCTGTTGATTAGAACTCATATACCAAATCATTTCTGTCTAAATGTAGCGGTAATGAGTTGTTTTTGGCTGATTCAATTATGTAGCGGTAATGAATTGTTTTTGGCTGGAAAAATGTAGCGGTAATGATCCGTCCAAAATCTGAAAAAAATGTAGCGGTAATGAGTTGAAATTTTTGGCAATGTAGCGGTAATGTTGACCTCCCTTATCCTTGCCCTAACATCAAATCAGTTGATTGTTTCAAATGCTTGCCCAGAAATCTACCATTTCATCTACTTTTAATTTTCATGAATTACAAATGTCTTGACAATCAAAGCCATATAAACAAGCATTCCTTCTGTGTCTAAGCCACAATTTTAAGGGGGGGAAGGGGGGAACAGGACTATAATTTAGTGTTTCTTGCAAGCATTAAATAAGGAATGGGTAAAATTTTGTTCCATTTCTTGGTATCTAACATCCACAGTCCTTTATTTTTTACTTGCCTGTAGTAGTCTGCTGTCTATTCTCTGCATTGGACTATATTTACTACAAATTATGATACAGAGTTGTAGTACTAAGCATATCTCTCTAACCCTATATTTTGCTCTTGATTGTGTCATTCAGTGCTTATCTGATTCATTCTTACTAAAATCCTCTTTCTGCATGCATTTTAGGCAGTTAATCTATCATTCAAGGGCTATAATATTTCATTTTAAATTAATTACCTCAATTAAATGATTGCATGTTTTAACATTATGTCAGTTAATTGCAAGAATTTTCATATATCCAGTGTATAAAATAATCGTGCGCCAGAGACGCACAAATTTTGTTGTGGGTGAACAGATTTCCATAAATTAAAATTTAGATATTAATTGATAAATCTCTTTCAAATCAACTAAGTATTATTTAGAGTACGAGTTTCCTACTGTATCAGAGATACAGGGCGGGGCTTGAGGCGAGAGCGATAGCTCGAGCCGGGCCCCGCCCTGTATCTCTGATACAGTAGGAAACGAATATTCTAAATGACTTGTGACATGACCTTTCTTATGACCTCAATAATTTACATGCTTATTTGGGTACTTATCTATCAACCAATCAGATGATTTGGGGGAAAGTTGATAGAGTATCCCATTTTAATTATTCAATCTCAACTGAAATGCCGAGCGAGGTGGACGTGCAGGTATGTATTATTTCAAAATATTTAGAATTATAAAATTTAATGCATGATATAATTTGTTTTCCATGAAAAAAATTAATTTAGATTTGATTACGTGCATAGGTTCTTTTTTTTACTCTATTCAGCTCTTGCTGATATAATTTTTTTTTATTTAAGCAACGATTTTGTGCAAAAAAAATTGATATATAAGAATCATGTGGGAATATTTTTGAATGAAAAATGCTTCGGGGAGATAGTATTCTGAGAGCGATAGCTCAACCAGATAAATGGAAAAAAGGGGGAGTGCTATTCTGAGAGAAATGTTCGACAATGTCATCCATCGGTCGTCATAATCATATACAAAATTGAAATAAACAGATGAAAGGAAAGGGGGGCTTACCTTCATGTTTTACTAAAATGTAGAGTAACCAAAGGGGGATCGGATCCAGCACTCACAGGTGCGCGTCGGTATGCCCCCCCCCTTCGTGCTTTTTCTTTTTGGCTTTCGTGGATTATTTTTGCTAACCTTGTATACATACGCTTTTTAATTTATCACAAGTAACGATATCACGCACATGGTGTCTGGGTTGATTATTTATCTACTCCCACGAAAAACGATTTTCCATTTTTTTGGGGGGGGGGGGGAGGGGGTACATGTAAAAGTAATCATTTGTGAACTGCCCATCTCCCTCCATTCCAATTTTTTTTAATCCGACACTCATAACTTTACATTCACGTTGTAAATTTTTTTTTCTGAATTCACTTCAAATTTTAAGTAAATACTAAACAGTGCTATCATGCGAGTTGAACGATTGTTACGTCTGTCTACAGTTACAGCTTTCCGTCATCGCTAAAAGAAACCCGTACTGTATCATTGATATTTTGCAGATACAGTACAGTTTCTGTTCATCTGCATAAGAAACGCCCACAAAAAGTGTTCTGTATCGCAGTTACAGTACGGTTGACTTCAAAGGAAAACTCGCCGGGTCATGTCACAATAGTATTGGCAGCAAAGTGTAACAAGCAAACGGGTAGAATTTGACAGACTTTTGGTTCAGGATCGAAGATATGGTGATAAGGCCCCATCACATTATTGCTAAAACAAAATTTATAAAAGATCAACTATTTTCTTGGGCTACTCGATTTTTGGCAGGGCTGAACACTTTTACTAGAAGTCTAGCTTATTTTAGGATGAGTTTCAAACACTGATATCACTTAATTTCAACAAAACTTCATTTCATACATATACAAATGGGAAAAGAAAATTTTTGTTTTGTGACATCAAAATTCAACAAATACATTTCTTTTTAATTTGTGTTATGCAATAATATGAGCTCATAGAATCAATATTCAGCTCAATTATGGGAAAATGTAATTTAGAAATAAATCATATTAAATGACTTCAAGATTTTTCTCAATTCAAAATGATCTGCAACACTCATTTGAATATTGATTACCAGCTGCTACAAAACCTATTTTATTCAGACAACCCTTTCCCATTCAACCCACCCTACTGTTTTTTCCCCCCCAAAAATGTGAATTTTCAATGTTTTTCTCCAAAGAAAATAGCTATGATATATTGCAGCTGCCATCATTCAATGGGATGTAATGTTGAGAATTAATGCTTGTATCTTAATTAACTTTTATACTATATGAAATTAATGATTTTAAAACTCTGGATTTGTACTAAAAGTAAAAGATCATTTAAAAACCAAATAAAAAATCATTCAGATTCACAAAAGAACAAGAAATTCTGCAAAAAATAATACAAATAAATTGCTAAAACTAAAAGATTCCATATACCAAAAACTTTGTCAAAACACTGAAAATGACTGAAAAGTTAAAATACAATCTCCAAAATTATAAGGACATAATTTATATTTACCTTTAAATCTAATTGCGAAACACAGCCATATATTACATCAAATATATTTCAAAACAAGAACGTTTAGCCTTAATTGGCACATCTCAGAAGTATAGTGTTCTTCCTATTCGCATAGAAACTGGTCGCTATATATTAAATGAACCTTAATTAATAAGTGAATTAAAGAACGTGTGTTTTCTGCTCTAGTTGTTCTGTTGAAGAAGAAATTAAAACATTTCTTATTGGACTGTCAAATTTATGATAATGTTAGGAAAAAATATTCTGATAGTTTATATAAAGATCACCCAAATAGTAATTAATGATACTGCTTATTTGTTTAAAGTGTTAAATCAAATTACGAGATAAAATTAGCCAAATTTTTACATAAAGCATTTCACCATAGAAAAATATCTTCTGCATGTGTAAATTTTTATATTTAATGGAAAAGGTGACTTATTGGTCTAATGAGTCGTTTGCAGTTTTCAGTATGTCTATTTTGTTTATGATGTAAATTAAAATCCTTATAATGCACAATGTCACTGTAATGATTACTTACTTACTATACTTCAAAGTTGGCATATGTATCAAATTCAATTTTTTATGAAATATATTCAGTAGGAATGAAAAAATGATAGCTTAGAGTGGTAAAAATTGTATGATTTATAATTTTGATCAAGTCATTGATTTGAAACTTTTAACACATAGAAAGTGCGGATCTAAAATTTCATAATATTGTAGTGAAATAGCATACATGTATGTAAATGTATTACATATGACCTTTGACCCTGACCTTGTGGCCACCCATCTGTGCCAGCACGCTTTCCACATCAGTCTTACCAGTCAAACTTTTCACCACGTTTTCCTGTTGTTCTTATGATTTATGTACCTGTGTTAACCACTGTTTACCCACCATGTAAACCTGGGTGTTCTGTCGTCACCTTAAACTAAAGGTAGGCGACATTCTGTAGTAAAAACCCCTAACTTTACTATATTGGGGTCGCCAGTGGGTTATAGTAAAATCCCTTATATTTTACTCCAATATTTTAAACATTTGAAATAAATTGCATCATTTACAACCAAAAAAAAAAAACTCAATAAATGCCAAACCAATGCATCCACTTTTGATGTTTTATAGCAAGTGTTCTAAAAATGAGACTTTATTTATTGAACCTCCTTTTTAATTAATGCACCATTTGTAAATGCAGGGGTAATGATTCGCAGAAAGAACAGAACAAATTTCAATCAATTAACATAAACCAAAACTATTATTAAACGGTTTACAATTTAAATAAAAACCAAAATCACCTACCATGTACGTACTATCATCAATAATTCCCCTAGATATCTAGAATCTATAGCCTTGTATCAATCAGAAATAAAATGTCATCCACTTTTGATGTTTTATAGCAAGTGTTCTAAAAATGAGACTTAATCACTTTATTTATTGAACCTCCTTTTTAATTAATGCATCATTATGTAAATGCAGGCCAGGGGTAATGATTCACAGAAAGAACAGAACAAATTTCAATCAATTAACATAAACCAAAACTATTATTAAATGGTTTACAATTTAAATAAAAAACCAAAAGCACCTACCATGTATCATCAATAATTCCCCTAGATATCTAGAATCTATAGCCTTGTAATCAGAAATAAAATGTTTTCCATACAAACGGCACAGCAAAATTAACAGTCACAATTTGAATTTTAAAAATTTGTCAATCAATTTCTCTCTAGATATATTTAGAATTTTTTCAATAAACTGTTAACAATTGCTTGATCTGATCATCAAATTCCGATTGCAGCCTGAAATTCAATTGATTTCACCTATTTGATCAGCAGCCTGAAATATCTACTGAGCAATCACATAAGTAAACACTCAACACCTACCTGCTGTGTCACCCACTGGGATAATTAAATGATCCACTTTCTGTTCTCAACAACTACTTTGATCAGTTCTTCAGAGTAACACTTCCTAACACAAAAGAGGTATTATACACTCTCTAAGAATCCATACATTTCCAGGTGTTAAGTCCCCTTAATCCCGAACTATGTAACAATTTCTAGTTATGTCACACAGTAAATGAGAGATTCCAACAATGTCTGTTTCAGTGAGAGTGAAATGTTTACAACAATATAAGCACAATGAAGCATGACGAGTAGACCATGTGAATATTATAATTACACACCTGAAATATTTAATTCTGTCTGTCAGTATACTTTTATTTCACACCCTGCCTGATACACAGTGAAGATTAGAAGAGGTGAACTGCCCATCTGACCACCCATCAGACCTACTAGTGACCACTGGACAGCTAAATTGGCCAGAATGATTGCCTTAATCACCTGTCTAATGGTCTGGTTAACACAAATCAATGCACATTCATGGTCCCTGTGGAACTTCAGTTATATCTATAGTCCAGTGTGCTCAGAAATTCTAACACTACCTAAACTGAGCCAGAGGTGATTCAATAGAATGATGAAAAGTCAGGACTCCGAAGCTTAATTGCTATTTGATGACAATAACAACTTAGTGTCCAAAATCTTTTAAATGTGTCCATGGGTTAATCACAATGAATATTTTTTAAAAATCTGACATAAGTAATTAAGTGAAGATATAAATTTAATGCTAACCTTGTAAAAATGAACATAATTTTTTTATAACAGAATTAGTTTAATTAATGAACATAGGTTTCATTCATCATTTTCGCAACATCTGTGGCACTGACAAACTGAAAAAAAATTAATTTTATTTTTTTACTTGTTGCAATTGTTGCATTATTAAAGTAGCATATATTGCACAGTACTCCTCTTTTCCTGGAAAAATTCCCTTTTTTAAAAATTGAAAGCACATACATTAAAATAGCTTAATGTCTTAAAAATATGACAACACCTACCCAGTTTGCTTGTGCAATTTAGATCCACAAATTCAAAACACTCCAATTCAAATAACAAAGTCTTAAAGTTAAATCATGACATCTTAAAGCTGCAGGACAAAATCAATTAATGTATGCAAACTGCTGCAAGATATATTCTGATCACTAATTCATACTCATGTACAAATGTATTTGTAATTGGCTCTTGATCATCAAATGGGAACCACAAACTACAGGGTAATATCTTGTACAAACAAACTACCAAAAACATGGTAAAGAAAGTTTGTTTTCTTCTAACTTTTGTTATCCCCCACAAAAGTTGAGTAATACATAAACATTAGGAAGTGTAAACGAATTGTTTGCCTATTCTTTAAAATCTCATAGGAATTCTGTACAAAAACATTATGCAACATTAGATCTTTGAGCAGTCCAAAATTTGAATCATTCTTTGAAGTCATTTTAATCTGTTATTCATTGTTTTTATTTTGAGGGAATTTGTTAACCATGCAGTTATTCAAATGTGTCATGTTTTTCGGAAATACTGGGTAGGTCATTGACCATAAAAAAATATGTTCTCAAATATTTTTAATTACAAATATAATTCTGTACTCAACCTAAATGAGTCAACATAGTTAATAAAGAAATCAGGCTTTGTGAATTAGCTGAGTAAGTGGTATTTTTTGTTTTAATTGTTTTTAATTCTCAATCAATATGAAACTTCTAAGATAATAATGACTGTAAAATATAAATCACGTTTTTTATATACAGATTATACAATCTCTGTGATCTGAACGAAATAGAGGATGCATTTCATTTGCAATTAAAATGTAATCAACATAAAAACTCATGTAGACATATGTCTTTCTAAGAAATACCTGGTATTGGAATTTCAAATAAACATAATAATGATTAATGTTCTTTTTAAATATCTAGTAACTCATTTCCGTAATGTCCAACTGCAAGTTTTAATTTACAGGGTATATATAATGCATGTAATATAGGACAAATAAAAATAATATCACACACATGTTATGTTATATATATTGCTAAAAGTGACTTATAGGTCCAATTAATTGGGTGTTGAAAATGCATGTTTACTGGATTAATGATATGGTTAATGAATGTAAAATCATTGTATACACAAGTCACTATAATAAAATATTCACTTGCATACTTACTTTTCCTCTAGCAATTAAAATAAAGATCCCCAACAATGGACATTTTCAAATATAATGGAATTTCAGATCAACCTTTTAATCAAGAATTCTAGTATAGGGAAAGGGGGCTAAAATATGTAGCTTTATTATAAAAAAAAATAATTGAAACAAGCTAATTCATTGAATTTTAACCCCCACTTAAGAAAAAAAGAAGAGCAATTGCTCAGATTAGGAGGGAAAGTTGAACTCCCCATAAGGAGCTGTGGTATAAAATTTCACTGCAAAGCTCAAAAAGGCTTCTTCAGTTAACACACAGAAATGGAAATGTTTAAACAAACAGAATTTATGGTTTAATTACCTTGACCTTTTGACCTCAAAATCAGTCAAGGTCTTTTAGGCCATACAATGCCATATTGCAAAAGCTCTGATACTTAGGCTTTCAAGATATAGTGCAGGAACAAAGTGTTAGAGACAGACAGAAATAGACAGACAGACTGAATTAATATCCCCCACTTTCAGTGAAAGCGGGGGACAATAAAGTTGAAATTCCTGGGAATAGATGTTCTGGCTATAGAATATCATTTAGTACAACAAAGCCAAAAATCACAAAAAATTAATCCATTTATATCTATTTCATAGCTAAGAACAGAAAAGTATAAAACAACTTTTCTGACAAGATCCACTTAGTTCAAACAACATTCAAAGAAAGCATTGAAGCATGTTAGATAAACCATCATCATCCTCAATAAATTGTACTACTTGTAATCAGATATCATAGATTAACTATGATAAATTTTTATAGTAACCTGAATTCAGATTTCAAAATACATGTAATTTTATTGTTATACATAACATTATTGTATAGCTATGACTGTACCAAGAAAAATGTGGCTTTACCGTTCTCTGAAATGCTCTTTTGTCCATACCTGATGGGGGCGGAGTTATAGAAAAGTGTGAGTTATGTACAGATAACCCACACTTTTAACAAAAGAAATCACACCTAACTATGGTACAAGTCACAAATCTCTAGGCACAGTATTTACATCCATACATCATTGTCTTGGGACGATGGTGACAAAATATATTTTTTTGTTGCAATTTCTATTTTCCTTTTAGCATGTTTTAATGTAATGTATTGCTGGATAGGTTAATGATTTCCCCAGGAAAATCACGATAATATTTAATCAATACGTATATCTACTGATCTGACAGTCTCCATATACCAGATTGTACAATGTACGTATCCTGTCATAGGTTTTGCCAGCTAGTAAAGTAAAATCTTCATGATCATATATAGGTTAGATTCAGATAAATTGTTACATTAAGTACAAAACAAGCGTTTCCTAGCTTAAACAGAAATCGAGATTCTGCGGAATCTTGATCACATGGAAAAGTATGTTTACAGTAATATGAAAGCCCTGTATCCTTCATGGAACAAAGTTAAAAATAAGAAGGTCAAACTTCTAGGTCAAGGTCTTGAAGTCAAAAGTGATATAGTTTTTTTCTGAAAAGTATTTATCACAGGTATAATTATACTTCTAGAATATGAAAGCCTTATTTTCTCTCATTCCAAAGTTATTTATATTAGTAATATAAAAAATTTTGGAAAGGGCAGTATATGGTTAAACTAGAAGGTTATGAGGTCTAAAACCATTTTCATCTGGGAAGGTCTTGCAACAGAGAATGCCCATGTCAAATATGAAATCCCTATCTTCTCTCATTCAAAAGTAAATCATCAATGTTAAAATTTCAAACTTCAAGGTCAAAGGTCAAGGTCATGAAGTGAAAAAGGGTGTTTTACATGTAATGTACATACAAAATAAGCCCCCATTCATTCATAAAAACTTCTGACTAATGTTTAAGTTTTTGTGACAATCAGACTGACTCACAAATAAATGAACATTTATTTACCATCATTTTTTGCAAAAGTGGGAGACAAAAAAAGTCTGTTAACTTATATAAATTAATGGAAAACAGGAATTAATCCATCATTTACAAAATCTGTATTTTCTAATCTCAGCTATGAGACTGCAGACTCAATGAGGGTGTTTAATACATTTCTATAACGACTTCACTATGAATTTTTTATAAGACTGTGTGAATTTTACATTACTGTCTGAGACCTAATTAGTTTGTGATTCATATCCTGTAAAGATGAACAGGAAGTATCAGTGGTTTGGTTCACACTGCCATCGGTCTTCTCAGACAATACACCCGCAAGTAAAGCCATGCTAGAACTCCAAACCTAATACTAGGAGAGATCAACTGACAACTATCAAAGGAATTCCAGCTCATTAATGAAACTTTTTTTCTATTATGCATAATTGATCATTCTGCATGCACGTTCCTCCAACAGAATGACTCATATCACATATTTTGAGGTAATACCCGAGCAGATCTCCACAAAGATGACAACAATGGGTGAAGCACTGAACTACAAAGGTGACATATGATACATAAGAGGCCGACAGGCCTTAGCAGTCACCTAAACAAGCACACCATTTTGTACAAGTTCACATTGTCTTTAAATTTTAAAAACTTCATTGTCAAGAACATTTTTTATGCAAACCTAAGCAGAACATCAAGGATAATTCAAAATACCATGAATATGTTGAATCTACACTGGAGGAAGCTTCAATAAAAATTTTAACCCTGCATCGCTTTTCTATAATGTTTTCTTTGAGCAGTGAGGGATCTTTTTTTATGAAAGAGAAAAAGTAGGCCTTTCACATCACATATGTGTATTTCTCAATAAATCTGTAACTATGATTTTTGACCCTGTGACCTTGACCTTCTATTTTGACCTACTTTACAAAAATTCTATTTTTCCTAATAACTTTTGATTAAGAAGAGATAGGGCTTTCATATTTGACATGTGAATTACCTGTGAAAGAGGAGGGGATGGGGGGCATTACATTATTTATATCATTGATCATTACATCCCAACCAATTAGACCCTGAAAGCAGGGGACTGACCACAAATGACTTCATAATATTTGCTATCCCTTACCAAAATACTCACCTTCTGGAATTATTGCCGCAATATTGCAGTGCTCAACATTCTGGCAATACATTGCAGCAATATTGCGGCAATATCGTTTTTTGTATGTAAATTAGATTTGCGGCAATATTGCCAGAAAAGTGTTGCGGCAATATTGTAGCAACATTCTGGCAGTATATTGCAGCAATATTGCGGCAATATCGTTTTTTCATATGTAAATTAGATTTGTGGCAATATTGCCAGAAAGGTGTTGCGGCAAT